ACAGCACTCTACCCAGGGGGACAGCTTGAGGCTCTGTCTCAAAAAGAAAAAAAAGAAAAAGATCAAAAGTATTTTTGAATACTAGAGTCTTAATATTTTTATCAATGTTTGCAAAGTTTTCACTTGGCCACTAACTTAAGAATTTTAGGAAATATAAGACTAAGTAATAATTTCCTCATCAGCATTAAAAAAAAAACAAACAAAAAAACGACAGTTGCCTAAGAATGCTACAGGGTTGCTTTGGTTGGGAGGTGGAGAAAGCAGAAATGAAATTAGTTACTCTAAGTGCCTCTGGACAGGAGTAATCCCTTCATTTCTGCTTTAAGAAGGGCTGGAGCAATGGCCCTCTCACACTATCACATGACGGTGTATGGCCTGGTGACTCAGCAGAGCACTGGCTGAAATGGCATCACGAGGTAATCCCGTGACCTCCATGACTGAACCATCAGGAGCATTATCTCGTCAAGAAGCATGCCAGGCCAGCGCCCTGGGTCACGATGTCCAGGAGGCTACTCCTCCATGCTTGACAGAGTGCTCAGTTGTGTGGGCCTAAGAGGCCGGGATGTGGGGAGAACAGACAGGAGAGCTTGAAAGAAAAGCTATGTTTGCTCCCAGTGTTCCAGACAGTGTTAAATCCTCTTGGGGGCTTGTAGGTTTTAGGCTATCGTTTTGAAACGTAAAACACAGATAACTGGATCAAGGTGAGTGTTTTTTTTTCCATTTCAAATACTAGATGCAAGAACTTGATCCCTGGGTTCACTTTAGCACCTAGCACATGCATGCCTGGCACAGAACAGATACCCTGTAAGTGTCTGTCAATTAATTAATAAAACAATAAAGAAAATAGAGCACTCTGAATCAAAATGTAGCTATGGAAGAGGAGAATGAGGGAAAGAAGAGGGCAGGCAGTGACTGTTTAGGCGGCTGTGGCCAGGACCATAACTAAAAATGAAACACCACCTTGGAAGACACACAAAAGAAAGAGAACTGTACCAAAACAAATATGGTCAACACCCACCCACGTTAAACTGCCAAGAAATAAAAGTTATTTGATTTTCTTTAAAGTCAACAGCTAAAAACAAACACCACCACCAAGAACAGGCATTTGTGTTCAGAGCTGCGGGAAGCGGGTGAAGCACGGTCACCTCCAGGCAGCGCCCAGGTCAGGCCTCATCTCCTCTGCACAATTTTCACAAACAGCTCAGCCACAAAAGAGAAACAAAAGCACTCACATTTATTCTCTTCACAAAATTTACCTGGGGAAAATGCCACAGACGCATTACAACTGGACGTTTGGGGCAGACTTGTGAACTTTGAGGTGATCCTTTGAGGATGTGGCGTCACGAACAGCTGCTTTGGGGTCTGCCCAAATTCCAAGATTTGGGTCAGCATGGCTACTTTCTCATCAGGATCTTCGATGCTTTAGGACAGAACACAGACAGTGGAGCTCAAGTTCCTTGCACACTTCTCAAATAATACCGACCAATAGGGGAGATGGAATCTCAAATAATATAGCAGCTATGGGCCAGGACTGTCTGAACATAATCACGGATCTTTACAGCATTGTCTGAGGCTCAGTAACATAAGAGTGAAAGCAAGATACAACTTAAATTTCCAGACCTTAACACTCTCAAACAACTGCATTAATCATTTAGATACAGAGGTATTTTATAATTTGAGTAGAAATTCCTTACTTAAATGTACCTGTTTAAGTCTACACCTCCTTCATAGGTCAGGGGATGAAATACTGCAAGAGAGACAGAAAACATACTGAAAGATGTACTATTTAGTACACATACATACACCTTGTTCAGAATATAAAATTATTAAAATCTGCATCCAAATAAACTATTGGAAAAACACACTAATATCCAACTTCTGTAAATATCAATTTGAATTACTATCTTCTGAGGTACAAAGATCTACTTGGCAAGTGAGAAGACCTGTTATCTCCTCCAGGGAGGCGGGAGTCACAGTGTTGGCTGGACTGGGCACTGCCCAGTGAGAAACCAGGTTTATACTTCCAGCTGCAGTTCCTTGTCACCAGCTCTGCACAATGTGGAAGCACAGAGGCCAGGGGAGCACAGAGGCGGGGGGAGAGCAGAGGCGGAGGGGGGAGCACAGAGGCAGGGGGACTGCAGAGGAGCTTCGAGGCTACAGTTTTCCTTCTGTGGGATGAAAACTCTGGGGCTGTTCAGGAGAATTAAGGCCACAGTTCTATCCAAGTTTAACTTAATTTCACTGGAAATTATTGAATGAGATGAAAAGTATATGGTAAAATTAGAAGACTTTAAGAAAAGACCTCTTGAGACTGTGGTGAGGTACATGTTGGGCAAAAATCCTTTCTCCCTCTCCCTAGTTACTCAGTAGCTAATCCGAGGTCAGGGGGCCAGTGGGCACTGCACTTTCATATGTAAGCTGCTTCTGCTGAAGAAATAAGCTGAACTGCTCTGGCTGCATGTTTTTTATTATTATTTGCTTTCATTTTCACCCAACCCTAAATGAAATTTCAATGAATATGACATACCATTATGAGCCTTGATGGCATAGCTCCCTTTTTGCTTGTAGCCAAATATGAGATCGATCCACTCGTGAAGGTGCTCTGACACATAATTGCTCTCCAGGGCACCTCTGCTCTTCTGGAGAAAGTCCTCGGGACCTATCAGATTAGACTCAATCAAAACATCACAGAGTCTCCATTGTATTTGCTCCCATTTCTTCTGTCTATCCATATATACATAAAGCTTCTAAGACAGGCCAAAGATACATATTCTATAGTTTTTCCCCCTATCATATGAAATGTAAGTTTTTTGAGACAAAAAGTAGCCAAAATCATTTTCATAACATTTAGGTCTCTGAAATACATATTAATGTTTTTACATCATAGACTCAAAAAATACAGCTGATTTGATATTGCCTCATTTCAATAGAGAATTATATTGTCATTTTTAAAAAACCCAAACAAATTAATAAAATAATTAATGATACTAAAATAGTACTGCTTGGTACAGGATATCTTAATATTCCACCTCCAGGGTGGCACTCACTTGAGGCCCACGGGGGGAGTTCTACATCATCAACCATCTGTCCACCTTGTCTCTTTCCCAGATCCAACTTCAGGCTGTTGACTAAAAAGCTGACATCATCACCATAGAATTCTGGAATCAGCTGAACGTTTCAGGGGAAAAAATGGGATAACAACAAACATTTTCTTAAAGCAGTTATAAACCACAAGTCCAGAGAATCGTTAGCTTTATTAATGGCTTACCTCTTTAAAATCTGTTGCACCATCCAAACAGTTTTTCCAAGTTTCTGCAATACTAAATATGACAAAAAAATTTACCTGACTTTAAATCTAAACTAAGGAAACGGCAGCAGCAGCATTTCCTATGCACTTCGGTGTTGTTCTACACACCCATATTAACTCATTTTCCCAACTTGTACTTCTTGACATCCATGTGAGCATCTCCCTTTTAATGAAAGGAAAAAACGGGGCCCAGAGAGTTTACTTAACTCCTCTAGAGTCACATAGGAGTGAGTGCGGTGTCCATACCACTAACCGCCACATACACACGGCCTCCCCCAGGGGTGAAATGGAGGCAGGTGCCTACTGAAAGATGAGGGCAACTATTCCAACAGTTCCTTTCAGAAGGCATTATAAATGGGTATGTGCAGAGCTCAGAAAGATTGGAAAGACACGGGCCAAAAGATTAACAACGATCTCAGCATGGTGAGATAACAAATGAGCTTATTCCTTCTTCATATTTTTCTGGTAAGACAATATTACCTCATGATAAAAACAAGTAAATATACTTAGATACACACAGAGACTTTATATTCAATTAAGAATTATTAAAAATAATAAAATGCTGGAATAAATCTAAATATCAAACTATAGAGAAAAATAGTTGAAATAAATTATGGCACATGTTAGCATCTGATATAATTTTTAAAAAATCACTGCTTTGAAGAGTATCTGATAATATGGGAAAAACTTCAAACTAATGTTTGTTTACAAAAGACAATACAAAAAACTGTACTTAAAATGTTTTCACATTTACACACATACACACACACTCATATATATGTCTAAGAAGAGCCTGAAAGGAATAGATATGACGGTGATTTTCTTTTTTTACACATTTTCATTTTTGTTTATCCCTAGTGTTTCAAACAACCATGTTGTATATATCACAAATGTAAAAATCAGCAAGTATTAAAAATGACAAATATGGCATTTTGATCGAACCTGTTGAACATTCTATCTGCATTATCAAATCTTCCATTCTGTAGGCACAGCATATATTCTGGTGCTAGAGCGGAAAAAAGCCAGAGTTAAGTTAATCATAGAATCAAGTAAGAATTCAAGTGAAATGAAATGTAATTGGTAAAAGAATCTTACCAATCCTGACAAGATAGAAGAGCACATAACCTGGGGAAGAGTAATGACTTCCGTACATGAACTTGGGCTCAGGCATCTCCTGGTAGCGAGCCTACCATGAGGGGAGAGACAGTGCTAAGTGTTGGCTACAGAATAATAACTGACTCAAGCAGTAACAGCCTCAAAGAAATCATGGCATGGATATACCACATTCCTTAATTTCTCTCTTTGATAAGAACAGGAGAAGATACAAGGGTGAGAAAATCTGTGACTAAACAGCATTCCTGAGACCAGGATTTTGGTTTTCTTGGCTTAGTGGTAACAATGTTGGGGTTAGATTAAAAAGAACCAACTTTCTGTGTCTCCTGTGCAATCTAACACAGGGCACCTTCAAGAAAATGATTCAGTGAACCTGTAGACAAGTCGCCCTCCTACTTCCCAAACGTTAGACAAAAAATGCAAATGGTGAGCAGCTAATTTATGTGGGAAATTAAAGAAAAAAAAGAAAAAAACATGCAGGCATCCTCAAACTACGGCCACGGGCCACATGGAGCCACCAAGGACAGTTATCTGTCCCGCTGGGTGTTTTTGCCGCCGCTGCCTGTCCTGCTTAGCAACCGACTCATCCCTGGGCCCACAGTCCGGCCGGCCCTCCAATGGTCTGAGGGACAGTGAACTGGCCCCCTGTTTAAAAGTTTGAGAACCCCTGACTAGGGTCACCAAGACCCTCCTGTGCAACCTCCCTAGATCTCAGAGAAATGTGTTTCATTACTACAGAAACAAAGGATAATGGCTCATGATGTTGCTTAGAAACCAAAAGCCTCTGAGTCTACTTACCAGCAGCCTCTCCAGCCGTTCTGCATTTAGGGCCCCCACTGGCTTACTAAGGTCCCGGAAGGTTCCTGGATTGGACAAATCTGCAAATATAAACAAGTAAGTGCCATTATCCTCCTGCACCAACACAAATGCACACTTCACATCCACAGATAATTTGTTTAAACCTTGAGACAGATCCATGAGAATTAGTATGTTTCTATAAAGTTAGAAATTTTTAAGTTTTACGTTAGCAACATCCATTTAAGAGTAATATTTCTAATTTGATGATGCTCTAAATATTGACTTTTTAAAAAAAATAACTTCTGATTAAAAGAAAAAAACTATACTCCAAGTAAAACAGCAAAAAAATTTAAAAAGCCATTATTGTTGTACCAAGATTTACTTTCTCAGTTTGAATTATAGTGAATATTATTTTTCTGCGATATTAGCATAATATGAGATCTGGGACCTGAATATTAGCAGAGGAATAAATTCTCATTATCTCCAGAAAATCTGTAATCTCTTTCAAGTACAGCATTCAATTCAGTGAATTTTGAAAAAGAAATAATTGCTCAAAATAGATACTTTAAAAATATTACAAAATAAAATTATAATGCAATCTCATTGTTTAAATTAAAGTGATTTGAGGGAGTAAGGAAAATGTCTATACCACAAAGTTAAATGGTTGTATCTCAGTTATATAATTACAAATGATTTTTATTTACTTCTTTGATTATTTCAAATAAATGTTCTATAATGATACTTTCTTTTGGTACTCATAGTTTTTACTGTGAATTTTAAAACAGTACAATAAACCGATGAACAATTTTCAAAGTGAGAAACTTAAATATTTTTAAAAAATGGAACTTATTCTGTAGTAATGTTAGTGATAATTACTACTAACAATAATGGTAACACTAACACTGGATTAAAATAATGCCCATTCTTTTCTGCATGTGTCCTTCAAGAAGTATGGTGGAGAAAACATATATAAAACATTTATATAATTTATCTAATATTTATGTGGTATCTTGTAATGGAAATTATCAATCCTCAGCAATAAGACTAAAATGAATTCTAATTGGTTCCCGTATCACAATCAGATTCTGAAATAAAATTTATTGTCTCCTTTAAAAGCAGGTGACCACTCCAAATTCAGCTTTGGGAGAATTCCACACACGGCATTTACCTAATTCTGAGCTGGAGTAATCATTGATTATCCAGGGAAACACAGGGTACTGGGAGAGGTCGTTGCAGCTGCGGTCGGCCAGGTTGTTGAGGTGGAGGAGGTACTGGTAGTTGGACAGGTGCCCCCGCTGCCACTGCAGTGTGTAGCTCTCAGCTGTGTGCTCGGCCATGTGGTGCTCTGGAGGAAGAAGACGCAGAGTCTGCCAGCGAAGGCTACAAACGGCTGGCCAGCTTTAATCTAGTATGTAAAAGCTACATGCTTAACCTATAGACCTGTCAATGCATTGCTGAGAAATACATTTTAAGAAAAAGAATAATTGGCTGTTGGTTTACTTTCACAAAGTAATTGTTCAGTAAAGTTCCTCTGATGTTGAGGAGGGGAAATTATTAATAATATTGAACTACTATCTAACCTCCCAAAATATGATATGAAATAAACAAATATATGTAAAAGTGCAGAACAAACATACAAATATATGGCAATAGGTAATACTTATACAATAAATGACAAAGAATCCCTCCAAATAAGCTGAGTCTTAATGCATTTAAAAACTATGGCTATCTGTGAAAGCTCATTTCCCAAATGTTTATGAAATGTTTATGAAGTCAAAACGAAAAAATCGTGCAGTTTCCTTACAGATGTGGAGGAGATATACTACTGCTATTTGTTGATGGCTGTATATTATGTGTGCATGTCAGGACTAAGAAAAAGAAATTGTTAAAGAAGAAAAAAGGGTATTTGGCAGGGGGACCAATTCTCAATCTAGAAGAACCAGAGAGCCTCCCCCATCTCTGAAATAACTGAGATCACAAACAACACGCATCAGTGAGAACCTTCCTTTCCAACAGTGTAAAATGAGTCCACTGTCCTACAAGTGGGCTTTCTTCAGAAAATTCTACTTTTAACTTTTTACCGGTTTATTCTTATTTACTTGTACCAAGTTTCCTCCCTAATCAGCTACTAGGGGGAAAGGCTTCCAACATCGAAACACTTCCCCCCTCATTTTCTGCCCTTCCAACCTCTCAAAAGAATCTTAGGAACAATCTTAGATAAGGTCATTGAGAATGGAAAACTTTGATAGAAGACAGACATTCTATTAATAGATTATGGCAAAGTTGAGTTTTTTGTTTTAATCATGTTATAGTTAGAAAAATAAAATTAAAAAATTTAATCTTTAGATAGCATAAAGCAAACTTATTCCAAAGCTATACTTACTTATTAAGTTAATCTGACTAACTTAATGTGTGAGGAAAAAAAGGTATTAACTATGTAAAATCTATGTAAAATAAAAATATGTTCCTTATTGAAAGCAAACTATTCCTCCTTGAGGGAAAATTTCTAAGGGAAGATGTACTTCATTATTTATCTCATAAATGGTTTCACAGTATACAAAATTAAAATGGTATTAATAAAATTGCAACATCTATTTTTAAGACTCATTCTATTATGCTCATCTGGCAGCTTTGTAAATAAGAATAACTTAGTCATACAACTTAATAAAAAAGTTGAAAAGAAATATATAGGTAGACGTTCTCTCTGAAAGAGGTGAAAAATCCATCTTTTCCAGAAAATATTGAGGAAACAACATTAATTAAAATCAAATTCCATTAAAGGGCGCTATTTTAAGCATAGAAGGTTCCTAAATTCCTTTTGCATTATCTTTTGTCTTTATGATTAAGATGACAATCAATGACCACAAACAGATGACTGGGGAACTTAATGTCTCACACCAAGAAACTGAGTCTTGGTTTTAAGATGTAAGTGGAAATAAAAATATTTGGGTAGATTCTTCATAATCCATTCAATTTTGACTGGCATTAAGACAGAAAAACATTTAAATATATTTATCAAGAGTTTTTAAAATATACAGTTAGCATGAACTATTACCAAATGAATTTATATTTCCCATAGTTTTAAAAATATTATTTTGGCAATTAAAGATAACTGATGAGAAGAAACACATAGAACCATGGAAAGGTGATTCTGGATCCAGCATGTTCTTCTCTTATTTCCTATCCGGTTTCTTAGGAGCTGAACTACCTTCACATGAATAGATACAATAGAGGGTTAGCACCAAACCTAGATATGTGGCAATGTAAAAATAGAGATCATCTCTCTCTTGAGGTTCATAGAACTTTAGGTAGATGTCGGAACACAGATCATCTTCTGTGCAAAATACTTCCAAGCCCTATAAATTCAGGAAAAAAAAAAAGAATAAAACAAACTACTCTTTATTTATCTTGCAATCCCAATAAGTAATTATGAGAGCTTTACAATTAAACATGTTTACATTAAACACATTTTTGATTTTTAGATCTAGTGATCATATTTCCAACTAGAAATTTGATTTGGTGAGAGATCAGAGAGGCATCTATATCTCTTTGTTGTATATACATATGAAAGTTGCATTTATAAGCTTTCTGAGAATAAGACACATATCTTAACTAAATTTTATAAAATTCCCTTTGCTGCTAAATATTTTTATTGATAATAACTTTTGTGAATTTATTATTTTGAAATTCAAACTTAGCTGACCCATGTCCTTATATCTCCTCTTCAAAAACAAACGTTTAGCTTTCTCTTATAAATTAAATAATTATATACATTTAACAATCTGATCATTGAATAACCTGTTCAGTTAATAAGTTATAATTATTTTTAAGAAAATTATGAGCTTTGTGAATATGTGCTAGTTAGGCTGAGACAGCAAAGGAACAGAAAAAAAAGGATGATAGCCTGGAGTTGTCCTTGGTTTAAAGGCAGGCCGTCACGCGTTTAGGAAGTTAACTCCTGGAGTCCCAACTTCTTTGTCCGTAAAATATGATAACATCTACCTCAAAGAGATTGTGATTGCAAATTAATTACTACAGTAGAACCTCTGTAAGTTGACCACCTCAAATGACTGTAACAAACTGGTCAACATAAGGAGGTAGACCTACTATACTGATATGTGCATGTGGTGCAGGTCGGGTCTATGGCAACTGGTCAGTGTACGGAGGTGATAACTAGGAGGCTCTACTGTATATATAAAAACTGCCAGTACATAGAAAGCAGTTACTCAATGTTCATTTCTTCTCTTTTTCTGACTATACCTCTAGACCTAAAGGCGGAGACTTTTAATAGCATCTGTTTCCTTAAGCCTCTATTAGCACTAGAAATGCAAAGATCACCTTTTAAGTAAAATAGGAAGCAAAACAGTTAAGTGACACAAATTAAAAATACAATAATGAGGTGGATAAAATTCCACAGTGCTTTTATAATGTCACCAAGTTATTGGTTAATTTTCAAAGGAGAAATATGCCTTTATATTGCTGTCAAATTAAAACATCTTGGCATCACACCCGTAGGGATCAGTTAATGAAGTAAATGTGTAAGACAAACACAGATGTGGGTTTGTCTCACTCAGGGGAATGGGGGGAAGAACCATCCAAATGATGTAAATGGTGATTTTGCCCATTTCTTTCTCTCACCAAGCCCAAAGGTTGATTTAATGTAAGTTAACTGTGAATACACTGCTGTTCCACTGAATTAGTTCAATATCTTCCGATCTTTACTTAGTGACCTGGGTGCCATGAATGGTGTTGGCAGAAGCTCTGCATACATTATTTTATCTAAGCCTAGAAACTCTGAGACCACAGGAGAAACTCAAGGGCACCCTAGCCTTCTTGCTCTTAAAGACAAACATTTTTGCAAAAGAGCTTTTTCTCTACAGAAAGAAGTTTTTTTCCTTTCTTTTCTCTCCCTCTCTTTCTTTATTCCTTCCATTCTCCTCCCCTTTTCTTTCTTTCTTTCCTCTCCTTTTTTTTTGAGGCAGAATCTCACTTTGTTGCCCCAGGTTAGAGTGCCTTGGTGCAAATTCCTGGGCTGAGCTGATCCTCCTGCCTCAGCCTCTAAGTCGCTGGGACTACAGACATCTGCCAGGATCCCTGGCTTTAGCTCCCTCCTTTAGAAAGGAGTTACTTCTTCTAGTTTTTCCGAAAGAAAGAGCAGCAAAATTCAGAGTCCATTTGCTTACAAAACACTTGACTTTTCAAACATTCCCTAGGGGTCTGCAAGTCACCGTACCCCTGTCTACACAGAAGGTCTGATGATCACCTGCCTAGGACCGGACTCGAGTGGAACTCACCAAGGGCATGAGGCCGTGCCTTCTCTTGTAAATGTGCCGCACATCTTGGAGTGTTATCCGGACCACAGGTTTCTTTAAAAGTAGAAAGTCAATTTCAAACATCAATATCCTGACACAATTAGAAGCTGCTCTTTAGTATCAGAAAGGAGAAAAATGCCCAAATCTTGCCTTCCCGATGAACAACTGGGAAGGGAGCTCTTGGAACAAGGCACAGCTAGTTTCACCTTCTACTCGCAGTGTTTCAGGAGCTTTCTGGCCTTGGGCGAGTCTCACCACGCCCATTCAATCTCCCACCAGGTTACCCTAAGATCCTGGGGGGATAGAGAACACTAAAGGGCTGGTGCAAATGACCTCTCTGGAACGTCCCTCTGCCTTCTAGATCAGGGGTGTGTTTAGCACTGACATCTTTTGGGGGTTGGGGGGAATCCTATCTTTTATCTCCTTAAAAAATTGGAGTGTATTAAGGCTCACAAATTCCTACAGCATAAACCAAGGCCTCTAAACTTTTCCTTAAATGAAGAACATTTTCTTGCTTCTCTAGAGTCTTAAAACTGCTAGTAAGAGCGGAATGAGGGTAGAGGCAGGAGACTGCCCGGCGGCGGAGCTTCCCAGTCCCCGGGAAGCGGAGGCTCCATGTTGGGTCCCCGCACTGATGGTCCCCGCACTGCTGGTCCTGCACACCGGCCCGGAGACTGGGAACAGACAAGTTCTCACCCACGGATCCTTAGGCTATGGCACTCAGACATTTTTCTAGAAGGTTCTGATGCAAGCGACAGTAACAGTGGGAACGAAGCCAATTAATCGCTCTACACGCGGCGAGCGACGCTCGCCACCTAGTGCACAGAATCATCACAGCGCCGTCTTTCACTCGCGAAAGTAGATGTTTTAGTGCCACCTAACGGCCAGCCGGGAGAATTTCCAGAGTGTAGCTTTCTTTGGCAGAAAACGTTGCTTAAGCTTCCCTGCCAATTGGCCCAACCATGCTACCATAATGGGTTAGGAGTTAGAACCCTAAAAAGAGACTAGATCTAGATAAGCGATAGATCTTTACAAGTTCTTGTGTAGAAATCTGAGTTTATCTTTGCTTTCGGGCCTAACAAGTCTGATGTCATTGAGGAAGAGAAGAGGTTTCCAAAATCCTGAGCAGGAGGCTTGGTGCCTATAGCTCAACCAGCTAAGGCGCTAGCCATGTACACCTAAGGTGGCGGGTTCGAATCCCCAGCCCGGACCCGCCAAATAACAATGAGGGCTGCAACCAAAAAATAGCCGGGCATTGTGGTGGGCGCCTGTGGTCCCAACTACTTGGGAGGCAGAGGCAGGAGACTCGCTTGAGCCCAGGAGTTGGAGGTTGCTGTGAGCTGTGATGCCACAGCGCTCTACCCAGGGGGACAGCTTGAGGCTCTGTCTCAAAAAAAAAAAAAAAAATCCTGAGCAGGAGCCCCCTGACTGCCGCAGTGCAGCGTCTCTGCACAAGCTGTGAGGGGAGCTTCTTCAAGAAAAATTTAGACCTGCCGACTTTGTTTACAATTAAGGAGAAACAAGAAATACTACCATGCGCGTACTTATAAGCAAATATACAGATATCTATTTCTCATTAATCACAGTAAGTTTCACTGGTCCCTTCCTGGAAGTGCTTCCTAGTGGAAAAGTCTCAATCTATACCCATCCTTTACTAAAATTGGCAGGGGCTGGGTCTTTCTACAACATTGGGTACAAATTCCCCTTTCCCCCCCAGTGACTGAAAGGTGATGGGAGGAAGTCAGACTCGGTGACTGTGCATCAGGATTACACAAGGGGTCCATAAAATAAATACACAAATGTGGTGGTGGGGGTGGAGGTAAAGCAAGCTATTTGGGTCCTCACCAAAATGTGAGGATACTGGGACAGTGAAGCCAAGCTCTGGCAAGAGAGCCTAGGGATGGAGGCAGCTCTGCACCTAACCCGGCCTACGCACCGGGTACCCGTTGAGAGGCTGAAAATACAGGTTTGTGTCCGTGATGCACACGTGTCCAGGGTTCGTCACCAGCGGTGTCACCATTTCTGCCTTGCATTCCATGTGCAGCTTTTCCGAAACACTTTGGAACCTGAAAATGTTACCAAAAGAAATAAAAATCAGAAACAGATCTACATTGTAGGTTTACCTAAGGGAGCTAAGTGTAGCTTTATGTGTTACTTGTCAAAACACTGAATTTAAAAGCAGAAAAATGGTAATATAAATTGGTTGCTTAGCTAAAACTACTATCTTCTTAAATAGCATAATAAAAATTAGGTTTTTAAAAATAGACAAGTATGTATCACAGAAGCAAAAGTATACAAATGAATAATAGCAAATAACCCTTTAGTTGAACTCATTCCTCCCAAAATCAGCCTCAAAACTATTCTTACATAAACATAATTTTCTATTTTTGTGTCATTACGACCTATTTTTATAAATGTATAAACCACTTTGGCACAGATGGCATTTATTTCACTGCATACTTCATAAGGCCAGGACTACATAATTATAGTTACTTGAATGTCATTTCTAAAGTACACTCTTTTGTGAATTTATTGCAGTAAAATCAAAGAGGAGCTATCCACTGCTCACTCCTAAAATATTTAATTGTGTCCATTCTTTTTTTGTTTTCTAAATTAAAAAAATAGGGGGAAAACCAAATCATCAAAATTTTCAAGCAATTACTTAAATAATTGAGTTAAAATAAATCTCTTTATAAATAACAAGACAAAAATGTACAGGTGCAGACTTCCACTTCAAGTCCAGGTAGCCAAGCTGCAGGCAAGCCTCATGGCTCTCACCCTAATAATCAAAACAGCTGCATAAGCTGAACAATCCTCACGGTTTCTGAAACCCATTGAAAAGCTGAGGACGTAGAGAAACATAAATGAACATAAATTGTTAAAAGGAAAGATGGGACCAACAACTGAGGAGGTCAGAGCTGTTGGACGATGAGAGAGTTTCAGGGAAACAGAAATCCAGGGTCAGGAATGGAGAGCAAAGAAAAGCTCCCTGAGATGCAAACACACTGGTGACTGGGGTGGAAAGCCAGAGAAATCTCCTGTGGCTCTGAAGCTGGCGGCTGAGCCATAAAGCACAAAGATAACCTCCAGAATCCTTCAAAGGATTTGAAGTCCCAAGAAGACTTGGGACTCTGCTCAAGAAGAGAAAGTCTTGAGCACTCCTTCAATAGAATTATAGGCAGTGTTGTCTGGAATTTAACCTTTGCCACAGCAAAGTCTAAATCCAGCCCAATTACAGATTCCACTAACACAGCTCCCCAGTACAAGTGGCCTCCCAGAATAAGGGGTGGGCCTCACCACTCTGGAGGCACATAGTATTTACTTCAATCTCTATACCTCCTTTTTAAACAAAAGGTCCAGCAAATTTGAGAACAGGTCAAGAAAAATTGTCTTAATTAAAACAAAATATAAGGAGGAAAACAGTGAAAACATATATAGGACAAGGCATTTGAGGCTGAGGGAATACATAAAACATACTAGCATGAGTGGGACTCAGTCAGAAGAAAAGACAGAAAACAGGACAGAAACAATACTGAAGGACAGAATGGCTGAGAACTGAGGGGGACATCAATTTACAGAAACATGTTGTTCCAAAACTCTGTGACACTGTTACAAAATATGTATTTAGGCCAGAAGTGATGGCTCAAGACTGTAATCCTAGCACCGTGGAAAGCTGAGATTGCTTGAGCTCACAAGTTTGAGACTAGCCTGAGCAAGAGCAAGACTCCGTATCCCGTCTCTACTAAAAACAGACAAACTAGCAGACTGTTGTGGCAGGTGCCTGCAGTCCAGCTACTTGGGAGACTAAGCTAAGAGGATCATGTGAGCTGTAGAGTTTGAGGTTGCTGTGAGCTTTGACACCATAATACTCTACCCAAGGTGACAGAGTGCGACTCTGTCTCAAAAAATAAATAAGTAAATAAAATTTAAAAATACGTATTTGGTCTCCGGCCCCAGTTCCTGGCACAGAGCTCCTAATTCCTTGGGATTTCCTGGGTGTTATAATGGGAAGGCTCTGAATGGCCTCCTGGACAGAGGCTGGTCACTGGACACCAAAAAGACTGATTCCTGATTAGAGCCTTGGCACTTTTACCACTCCCACCCCCACCATCCTCAAGACAGGAGAGAGAAAGTGGAGACTGAGTTAGTAATTGACTACGCCTATGTGATAAAGAAGTTTCAGACTGGAGAACACATCTATGAGTGGGGCAAACTCTAGTTCCATGGAGACAAGCTCCTGTGCTTGGGCCCCTTCCTGGCCTCACCCTCTTCATCTGGCTATTCATCTGTATCCTTTAACATATTCCTTATTAATATAATAAACTAATAAACAAAAGTAAGTATATTCCTGAGTTCTATAAACCATCCTAGCAAATGAGCAAAACCAAAGAGGGGGGTTGTAGGAACCTCTGGTCCCACAGGTGACAGCCTGAAACTGCGACTGGCATCTGAAGTGGGGCGTGGGGAGCCGTCATGGGGGACTTGCCCTGAACCTGTGGGTCTGTGCTAACTCTGGTGACAGTACCAAGTCTGAACTGGACTGCAGAACATCAGGTGGTATTAGAGGGCTTCTCGGTGTGGGAATAATCCCGCACACCTTGTTGCTACTGTGTTGAGTGTAGTAGGAAAAAAGTGGTTTACTTTTTCTGATTATACATTCTGAAACTCTCAAGCAGCATAAGCACAAAGAAAACCATATCTTACATTTAGGTGTCCATAATAAACATGTGACTTTTTACAAGAAACAATGGGATGAAAATCTTTGAAGGAGAGAAAACACCTGTCAACCAAACATTCTATATCCAAATACTCTGCAAAAATGAAGGTGAAATAAGGACCTTCACAGAAAGAAAAAGCTACATTAATCTCCAACAGATCTGCATTATTAAAAAAGGGTACAGAAAGTTTTTTCAGATTGAAGAGAAATGAGAGCAGATGAAACACTGGATTTGTGCACAGAGGAAAGAAAAGGAGATGAGAAAGCATAAACATTTAAATAGCAGAGTAAATCGAAAGGAATAAACACTTGTATATATCTAAATTCTTTAAAAAGCTTTTGACTTTTTTAAAGCACAAATAATACTATGTTGTGGGTTTTTTTGGTAAATGCAAAAACTAAATATAAGACAAGATCACAATAGATAGGAGAGGCTAGATGGAACTGCACTGGAGTACAGTTGTTGCATTGTTGTAAAGTAGCATAAAATGACATTATCTGAAGGTATACTCTGGTACAAGGTGTACATTGTAATCTCAGATTCACCACTAAGAATAAAAAGTGGTACACTAAAAGGTCAACAGAGCAATAAATGAAGTACCAAAAATTAAAAAAAAAATTACTAGATTCACCCAAAAGAAGGCAGGAAAAAAAGAACAAATACAGTCACGCACCATGAAATGACACTTTGGTCAACGACACCCCATGTGCTCCAGTGTCCCATGAGATCTCAGCACTGTCATTGTCCTTTTTTACTAGATACATAAACGCTTACCACTGTGTATGCTGCCTACAATATTCAGGACAGGTTGAATATCCCTTTTCCAAAATGCTTGGAACCAGAAGTTTTTGGGATTTCAGATTTTTTTTTGAATTTTGAAACATTTTCATTATTCCAATTCTGAAAATCCAAAATCCAAAATGCTCCAAAAAAGCATTTTCTTTGACTGTCATGTTAGCACTCAAAAAGTTCCACATTTTATAGCATTTTAGGTTTCAAATTTTCAGATTAGGGTTATCCAACATGAATTGTAACGTGCTACACAGGGCCATAGCTGAAAAGCAGTAGCTTCGTGGTATAGACTCTGTGGTGTTTCCCACAGCGAAATTGCCTAACAAGGCATATTTCACAGTGCATCCCCATCACGAAGTAATACCTGAGTATAACAAGGTAGTGGGCTTAAAACCAACCACAGCACAACCTCTGTGACTTGACCACGCAAGGGACTGTAACAAACTGGTCAATATACACAAGTGGTCACACAAGGAAACCAGGGCTACTGTACCACTACATGCACATGGCACAGGTCTGGTCTATCAACATCAGGTCAACTTAAGGAGGTGGTCTACTGTGGAGGTTCTACTGTGTATCTAGAATACATAATTATAAATTATCTAAACATTCCTGTTTTTTTTTTTTTTTTTTTTTTGA